TTTAGGGCCCTCTGTTTGCTCTGCTGTTATTTAAGGCAGCGGAGCGGCGGCAGATTGGTTTTCATTGGCTGCCATTTTTTATTTTTGATTTTATTTCCTCCCACCCCCTCCCATCCCGCTTTTAACAAAGTCGCCGCCGGCCGATGCTGCCTGCAGTCCTGCTGCCCTTGCTGCACGCACGAGGTCTGCCCTCCCCAAACTTTCTGTTGCCTTTGGTTTATGTTGGCTGCTTCCTGGCCCCGTTTTCCAGCTCTCCCCTTTCCACCCATGTAGGCGAGTGGTTGGTGTCAGGTCCCCAGCCCACATGCCCCCCTTCCCTCGCTAAAAAGCTGCACACCGTAATGACAATTTTTGGAGTTTGCAGGGCTGACTGCAGTTGTTTATGGCCTCCCACAAAATTTTAGAAAATAGTTTGCGATCAAAATTGCATTTTTTGTTTAGCCGGCAGTAAATCCTCCAGGTTAGTTTAGAAAGGCCGTTTAGGTCCAAGCAGTTTGACACAGACTCCTTAAATCATTGTCGCAGGCCCTCGACATGTACTATACCTTTTTGATGATTAGATTGTAAATGAAAAATACAGTTGGCATTAACACTACAGAAAATGAACATGATCTACAGGAAATACCTGCTCATCTAGTTTTTCATCATGCTTAATTTCTCCTCAGTGTTATAAGTGACACCAAAGAACGTAAAAGTTGCCTGAACACTTAGAAATTTCCTACCGGGTTGTTATTTGTCCCCCAACCAATTTTCCCCTTAAGGAGCGACTCTTTTTCTCCTATCCACCACTCCCTTATCTGCCCTAAGTTTGCGTAAGAAAGAGATGATCTCAGGCACAGGAAAAATAAGGAGAAGAGGTTTTTCACTGAAAATCGGGAATCTGAGAAATCATTTTTCTTTTCTTCATTCTCTCATTCTCCTTCTTGCGGTATTTGTTGCCTCTCTGCTGGCCTTCAGGCAGGGGAGAATATAAATGTTTAAAATTAAAGGTGAGAATGTTGCAGATATTTTCCATTTAATGTACTTTGCTCTTGCCAGTCATTTGTGTACTTAACTTTATATTAGAAACCCTTGAATATGGGTGATTCATCTCCGATTCTGCTGAAAAGAACAGTTCAGAGGATTTCTGGCCAGCTAAGGTGTGGAGTAAATGATTTACATGGCTCTTTGTAGCGGCGGCTTCT